TTACAAATAGGATATTTGACGTTGTATTTTTTCCTTGCAGAAACAACACTGAATGAAAGATAAATTGTTAAAATAATAGATGCGACTCCAGTTAAGATAACCTAAAAACATTATTTATAAAATAATAAATAATTAAATTAAATAATTAAAATAATAAATTAATCAAATGGATAATAAAATACATTACATATCCAAAATCGTCTGAAATTTCAATTTTTGCCATTGTAATTATAATTTATTTTGATTTTTATTTTTGATAGATTTTTTATTTTGATAGATTTTTTTATTTTAGAAAATTTTTTTAAAAAAAAGAACTGTTGATACATTATAAATATGTACTTGTACCTACCTATATATGTTGTTAGTAGTTTCACAAATAAACAAATACTTCTTGTGTATTAAATAATATTATATTATATTAAGAATAATCAAGAATAATCAAGAAATAATTTAATTTTATTAATAATCCAAAGATTTTAAAAAATTTATTTTTCGGTTGCGTGATAGTAATTGATTATTCGGAAAAATACTTACCCTTCCCAACGTTCCAGAACTGTAAATTACTTTTAATTGCTATTTAGAAAACAATCGATCAATTATTGGATGGATCACACAATGGGCAGTCTTTATTTGGGAACATTTATACTATATATTGATGATTATGATGATCCTTGAAATCCTTTGTAGTATTATTATTATTTTGTTGCCTTAATGTAACTTTTAAACATGCAATTTGTACATTAATAATAAGCTAAAATGAAGATCCTAATAATAATACCAATTCAAAGCCTAATTAATTGTAGTCTATTGCGAGTTTTTTGGGATTTATTGTTGTTATTATGCACTTATATGACCACACTAGGCTACATGTAGTAGATTAATTTTGCGTTTCGGCCGATTAATTTATTATATATAAATTCGAATATTTTGAGTATATGTTTTTTTAAAATACATTCTTAATTAATTAATTCATTCATTAATTAATACATTCATTTGTTTATCATTTGTTTTCTTTTACCCATCCTATCCAAAATGGGAAGCACCATTAGTATTGGTGATATCAGTGTAAAGAAATATTATAAAAAAAAAAAAAACCGTACAAATTTATCATTTTTGTCATCTTCTTCATCTTCTGATGATAAATCTTTGTGTTCATCTAAAAGCTCGGATGGGATTAATGTTTATATAGATGGCAGAAGATATCTTGAAAGTTCAAAATATTCTTTACCGAACGATGATGAAGAGATTGATAGAATGCACATGCAACATTATATATCAAGATTTATTTGGCAAAAAAATTTTTGTTCTCCTTTAGATGATTTGCTAAGATACGGTGGTGCAAAAGTTTTAGATGTTGGGTAAGTGTACTATTTGTTGTTGTTATTTTAATAGGAAATATTTCCAAGTAGAAAATACTAATAAATAATAATGATAATTAGGTGCGGTGCCGGGACATTTTTGCTTGAGATGGGACATGATTATCCCGAATCAGAATTCCTAGGAATTGATATTTCGCCAATGTATCCATCAGAAATTAAACCTTCTAATGTGAAATTTGAACAAATCAATGTTCTAGAGGGTTTACCATACGATGACAACTCATTTGATTTTGTTGTTATAAGAAATATGATAACTGCTTTTTCTATAGACGATTGGGATTTTTGTATACAAGAATTAATCAGAGTCACTAAACCAGGTGGCTATATCGAGGTAAATATTATTGATATTAAATATTAATATTGTGTACACACACATATTTCCATTTATAATAATAATATTATTATTATTATTATTTTAGAGTTCAGAATTTGAAATACCTGCTTCAAATAGAGGTCCAGTAGTGAAAAGATCCACTATAACGAGATCCACTATAATGAGCTTTGACTGTATTATTAAATTACAAATAAATAATTCAATTAATGATGTTTTGAAATTTTTTTGGTTCAAGCCACATCTACTATAAATAAGCCACTTTCTATTATTGTACATTACCTTTTCTATGCTCGAAAATTATTATTCTACTTGTTCATATCAATCATAATATTGTTATCAAAGAATTATATTTTTCAAAATAATATATCAGATAGCAAGAAGTAGTAGTACAATCTATTGTGCAATAGGATATTTGAAATTTTTAACAATTCACACAATTCATCTTTATTATTTTTTCTTTTTAAATAAAAAGACGAAAATATCAAAATAGTTCATTACAAATAATTCTTCAATCAGAAAATGTATATATTTATAATAATTATTATTATCAACCATGCATGATTCAGTCCTGGTTCTGACCAATAAAAATCGAAAATGTTTATCATATCAGAGCAAGTAATTTTACTTTCAGTATTTTCTAGTATATACTGTATACCATTCTCCAGACAAATAGCTTGGGCATAGTATTTCCTGCTATTGAAAATGTTTGTTTACATGGAACAATTGTGGTCTGAATTGTCAAATAATCCATTTAGTAGTTAGACTATTACCTACTTATGATTGGTTCGCATTTGTGTCATACTTCAAGGTTGGAATAATTCACGTTCATTTTCACATTCGAGGCTGACTGAGGACCCATTCTAGGTTTATGGAAGAATCTGCATTTGATTCCACATTCAAGATATGATTGGATTGCATTTGTGTCATATTTTGAGGCGGGATAAGTTGGTGTTTCATAGTTCCTTGTATTAGTGGAGCTAAATAGTCTACTAGCACTTGGGTACAAAATAGTCTAATAAGTTAACACAAAACATATAAATAGACAATTTATCCTCCACATTGTATAGAAAAACCAATTCACAGAAAATACACATACATTTTCTAGGTGATGAAATGCTGAATTGGGCAATCTATATTTTGGCTTTGTACGTCACATTTGAATTTGGGGTCTGGTTTTACATGTTGCATTCAAATACCGATCGAAAATGAGACACGTAGTGCTGAATTGTTACAATTATTTTTTGATTTGAATTTTTCCCACACTTATTTGGGGTGTTACACATCAGTATAAACACAAACATAGTTGAGCACACTTATAAAAAACTATA